TGGCGATCTCAATGTCGCACACCAGGAGATCGACCTGAAAAACCCCAAGGGGAACAAGAAAAGTGCAGGCTTCACCCCAGAGGAGCGTGAGGGCTTCAGTCAGCTGCTAGAGGCTGGTTTTGTCGACAGTTTCCGTGAGCTTTACCCTGAGCAGACCAACGCCTACACCTTCTGGACCTACATGATGAATTCACGTGCAAAGAATGTAGGGTGGAGGCTTGATTACTTTGTGCTGTCGTCCTCTCTACTGCCAGGCCTGTGTGACAGCAAGATCCGGAACAAGGTGATGGGAAGCGACCACTGCCCCATCACTCTGCACATAGCTCTGTAGGTCACTGTGTGTTACTGCTTTGCACCATTTTCTCAATGCTTCCATTCTGACTTAGTTCAAACGATCATCGATGTTGGTATGCACTCTGTTCGAGTGAAGCACCAGTTATTTGGAAGTCCTGCATTTCTTGAAATTTCTCATGGGTGGAGCGGTGCCCAACTTTAGTCATTTAGTAGATTCAGCAGTAGCTTAGTTGTCTGTACTTCCCTTTGTTTTTTACATGTAAATAACTCTAAAACACCCACTGCCCATATTTCCTCTTTCTTTAATTGTTAGTAAACCCACTTACGTACACCTGACTTTATCTTGATAGTTTTGTAAAAATACAACACTAAATGTTTGAGCTGATCTTCATAATGTGCCTCCTGTGTGTACTAGTGCTGATCTGAGACACAAGCCTACTGTATGTCTTATGTTAGTTTGAAAATAAGCTACTGCTCTTAAAAAAAATGTATCTTGTACCACAAAAGGTTTTCCAAACTAGTGTGAAATTTTGTTCTAAAGTTCACAAAACTTCTCAATAAAGATGAAATTTATATTAAAATGTTAATTCCTTATTTGATCATTTTGAGCCAAGATGCTGAGGCAAAGAGTTGTATCACAATGCATCTGAAAACCATTCCTCTGCTCATTGTATTTTAATCACAACCATGGATTCAAATGCAGTCAGTACAATGGGGGGGAAAAGGGACATTAAACACAAATCTGTTCTTGGTGCAAAGTTTCTATTAGATGCACTTCACAGCAGTTACTGTACATAGGAAATAAAGCCACAATAAATGATCCACAGTTGCTTTTGTCCCAATCTAAACTATAATCTCATACAATTTAAAATTCCAAAATATAATTCCAGTCTTGGCTATAGCTATGTTAGCTATGTTATAGTGACTGAAATCCAAATCTTTTCCCCTCTATGTAACTCATATGATCGTTTCACAGATGTGTGAATAAACAAATCGGACTTTCTCAAAGCCGATCGAGCCCACTTGCATATGTACCTCTACATCCGATTCATATCCCATCTTTGACTATGTGACTGCTGTCAGTGGTCAGATCACAATTCAGGTGCTTTTTTTTTATATATCTCACTCCTCCTCTGCATGTATTAATTCAGTTGGCCCTGTCAAAGACCAATAAAAATGGAGGAGAGCAACAGCTGCAATGGGTCAGTGCAGAGACAAGGCTGTTTCACATTTGTTGTGTAGAGAAGCTTCTGATCACAGCAAACTGGAAGGAACATACCAAGTATTTTTTTAGCAACCTGCAATTTGAGTGTCACACAAATTACATTATTCTTTTACACATGCATCTTAACCTTTTAGTTTAATCTGCACGATTGGAAGTTTAGGACTTCAGTGGTGTTCACACAGGAGCTGGATACATGTCAACAAACATGAATGAAGCATTGACATGAAAAACCTAGATCTGACAAAAAGTTTGGAATTGAGTAAAGGTCTGTGATGTGAACTTAGCCTATGTTAACTTCATAATATGTGTTCGTTGGTGCATTTTGAGATTATATGACTGTCTGAATCCCTTCCCACATTCTACACAGAGGTATGGTTTTTCCCCTGAATGTGTTCGCTGGTGTCTTTTCAGGCGGTTGGCACTGAGGAAACTCTTGTCACACTCGGTGCAAGAGTACGGCCGGACACCTGTGTGGTAGCGCAAGTGGATGGTCAGGTAGCAAGACTGAGTGAACTTCTTGCCACAGTGGGGACACTGAAAAGGCTTATGACCTGTGTGGAAACGTTCATGTTTCAGAAGCTCGGCATGGGAAAAGAAACCCTTCCCACAGTCAGAGCAGAGGTATGGTCTCTCACCTGAATGTGTCAGTTCATGTCTGATCAGAGTCGCCTTATAGACAAAACTCTTGTCACATTGCGAGCAGCTGAAAACATTTTCCCTGGTGTGGCAGCGCTCATGCTTCTTCATGTTACGTTCCCTCTTAAAGCTCTTGCCACAGAAAGAACACATAAAGGGCATTTCCTCTGAGTGGATCTTCATGTGACTCAGCAAACCACCCTTGTAGAGGAATCCCTTGCCGCACTGTGTGCATATGTGTGGCCGTTCTTTTTGATGGATGCGCTGGTGTGCTGTGAGAGCCGCTTGGTAGGCAAAGCTCTTTCCACAGTCACAGGTGTGCACTCTTTCTTCCTGGTGAGTCTGGAGGTGCCTGTTGAGGTAGCTGGCACAGCTGAAGCCTAGGTCACAGTGAATGCATTTGTGAGAACGTTCCACCTTGTCAGAATCCTCACCATGGGTCTTCAGATGCCTCACCAGTGCTGACTTCCAGGCAAATGCACGGCCACATTCAGAACACAGGTACTCACTGTTCTCCATGTGGGTGCTCTTGTGCTCCCTCTGAGCCACCAGGGACTTGAAGAATTCCCCACAGATAAGGCACTCATACTTGCATTCAGACTTGTGTGTCTGCTTGTGCCTATCCAGTGACTGTTTAAAGGAGAAACGCTGTCCACACTGAGAACAAAGAAAGGGCTGTTCACCTGTGTGGATGCGCCGGTGGGCTTTTAGTAAGGACTGGAACTTGAAGCTTTTGTCACAGTCTGAACAACAAAAACATCTTCCTCCATCTGCAAGAAACTGAAGAGATGGTTTGTCTTCCTCAGTCTCAATAGAGTGAACACTGTCAATGTGCTGCTGGACCTCCGCTTCTTCTGAATGGTGGAAAGAACACTTCGGACAGGAGAAAGTGGTCGGTGAGGCATCTGCTACAGAATATTCCAGAGGACCAAAATTATTATAGAATGCAGTGGGAAATGAACATTGTGCTAAAAATGTGTACTTGCATTTTTGACTTGTGTTTCTAATGGGTACATATACTGTATATTGGAACCAATCAGCTTGAAAAAAAGCTGAAACATTCCTTGGAAACCATCTAGGCGTGTGAATTGTAGGTCCTTATATGCACAGGTGTGTAGTTTTCTAAACTGTCCAGTCTATTTAGTTTGCCACAGGTAAACTCCAATCAGGTTATAGACACATCTCAAGGGTAATGAAAGAAAACAGGATGCAGCTGATCAAAATTTGGACTGCCACTGCAACAGGTCTGAATACCTTTCTAAATTAGAATTTCAATTTTTTATTTTTACTGATTTTGCAAGAATTTCTGAAAACATGTTTTCACTTTGTCATCAGAGTGCAGACTGATGGGCAAAAATGGCAATTTTATTCATTTAAAATAAATTCTTCAACATAGTGTACAAAAAATGAAAGGGTATGGAATACTTTCTGAAGCCTTTGTATCTGTGGTGATGGAAAGATTAAAAAAAAAAAACTCACCTTCGTTACTGTCTTTTGATGAGACCACCAGTGATCCATAGGAGTGCTCTGCACTGTTAACAAAAAAGTAAAAATAAAGAAGAGGCACTTGACCTGCCTAATATCTCACTATAATGATATATTCAACCATAAACAATCAAGTACATTTCATTTCGACATAGTAAAGCTGTAATCAAAGTTGTAATTAAAGAATGGCATTTCTTTAATGGGCCATCAAACAACAGCTAAGTGCTAGTGTGTTGATACAAAAAATTCCTACCACAATGACATGCAAATCTGTAACCCAAACTTCATTGTGCCAGGACAATGGAAACAAACTAGAAAGTTTGTAAGAAAAAAAAAAACTCAGTTGTTTACCAGTTGAAAGGCAAAGGCTTCAGTTCTGGAGGGTTTGCCTTGCTGACCTCCTTCCTCTTAGTAGTCATGTGCCTCTGTAAATTTATCACCTGGATCTTCATGGTTGGTTTGCGTTTGCGCCCACTTGTGCGAACCTTGACAGGGGAAATGACATCACTGTCACTATCAGGGACAAGACCTCCAGGCTCAGAGGTGGGAAGCTCACAATCACCATTATCCTCCTCTGGCACCTTACACTCAGGCTCAACAAGTGCAACAGGAGCCTCACTGGCACTTTCATCACAGATAACCTTTTGCCCATCCTTATGGCTCTCTGTAGCCTTGTTTGAGTTGTGATCGTCAATGTGAGTTTTTAAGTGCCTCGCAAGTGCCAGCTCCCAGTTGAATTTCTTGTTGCACTCAGGGCACTTGAAAACACTGCCTTCCATGTGCGTTTGCTTGTGTTCTGTGCGAGCTGACAAGGAGTGGAAGGTATCCCCGCAGATGACACAGCCATACTTGCGTCCAGTTTTGTGCGTGTGTCTGTGCCTGTCAAGGGACTGCCTGAAAGAGAAACGGCGACCACAATCATTGCAACGGTGGGGTCGTTCCCCTGTGTGGATGACCCTGTGGGCGATAAGTGAAGAGGCAAACTTAAACTTCTTCTCACAGTCTGGGCAGTCATGAGGTCCCACAGACACTTTGTGTTGGGAAAGAGCTGGGTTATTCTTGTTAACTTCTGGATGGATGATGTTTGTCAAGACATTTTCAACTTTTTCTTGTATTGCTTCTCCCCTTGCTTTTGTGTCCTCTTCACTGCTGGTCTCTATCTGCAAATCTTCATCCACTGTGTTACTATGTGTTGCTTCATAATGGTCTTCTCCAATAACAACCTCAATGTCAGCACTTGTGCCTAATTCAACCTCTGCATAATCTGTCACTGTAATTATTTCGACAGCTACATCACCCACATATGACACAGCGTGCATGTCATCACTGAGGTCTTGCAGTGGATGTGATTGGTTGAGTTGTTCTGTACTTTTTGCAGCTCTGCTTGGAAGAACAGCAGAGAGGGAGGAAAGGATGCTGTCACCCATGCTAGAAGGTGGAACTGTACAAAGAAGAACAAGAATTAAATTAGTTATTTAATAAACTTCTGTCTTTAATATAATACCAGTGATCATAGGAAGCAAGTTACCGTGTTGCTCTAAATGCCCATGGTGTTTGTGGTGCTGGAGCAAATTCTTCAGGTCTGTAGGCTCAGACACCGAATGCACACAATCCTCCAACATAGAGCATTCAGCTCCAAGCCAGGAAACGGTCTGCAGGAAAATGGATGAAAGCACACATTATAACAGATCCAACAGTTTAAAAAGAAACATTAACTAAATCCAGATTTTAACTTAAAAAAATATAGCAAGACCTGTAAGATGTATTACTGATCAGTAATATCTACTAACATTATGTCTGTTTTACTTGAATTCAAGCAAAGAGAAAAATGAGAAACTATCACCATCAATGATGAGGTAAGTGGAACACTGAACCTCACTAAGCTTGTACTCACAATCACAGTTCCTGATTCCTACATGGCACTGTTCTATATATTTATATATACTACTGTATGCATTATGTAGTATATACCATACAACTAGGAACTATCTACAACTGCTGTATGATGTACACTATTGTATGCAACTTAAACAATTATTTTCACACTAAAATGAAATGGACAGTAGTATTTTACTGAAGTGTGCAGACCTCAATTTAGAATTTTTATAACTTCAGTTTCTTTAGATCCACAATGAGAGAATTTGTTATATTTGAATTATTTTTAAAATGTTACTTATAACTGGACTTTTCTTCCACGATCATTGTTACATTACTGCTCGACTTGATTAGCACAGTAAATTAGCTTCAGGTGTCATTGAGCTAGATACCATAATTTTAAAACTTACATAATTTGCTTCAGTCTTTAATCACTAGTGGGACAACTGCTGTCATTCACAATGGATCCATACAGTAGTATTTTTAAGCCATATATGAATTTTGTCTGGAGAGGTTTCTTAAAAAGTCTTAAATCACACTGGCAAGCCTGTATAATTAACCTTTAACATTCATGTGCAATACACCCTAGAGTGGTATTTTTGGCATTGCCATCATAAGCCTCTAACCGTAATGTCATGTCATACTTCCCCTAATATTATGTAATAACAGGGTAGCAGTGATGTAATATGGATTAGATGACTTTTAGTTATTTCTTTATTCCCTCTTATGTGACATGTGACACGCTTGTTACCATTTTCTCAAAATGTCACACCTCACCTGTTCGAGGTCAGGAACTGGCAACAACTGAGCCAGTCGATAGATGAACTCCCAAAACAGCTTCTGTAAATCACTGTCATACTGAGGTCCATATTCTGCAGGAAAAACCTCCTTTGAAAAATAAAAGACTATGATAAAAACCATTTTACAGCATTACAAATACCAAAGCCCAGTATTTCATTACTCGACTATTTGTACCACATAACACCAATTGAATGTCTACAACTCCTAAGGGAACCTAGCTTCAAACTAAATGTAATTACTGCTTTTTTACAAATGCAAATAACATGCAAAATCACATGTTTATTTGGTGTCACAGAGGTATAAGTAATACTGCCTTACTGAGAAAAAATCTCTTCTCGCTTCAGGATCTTTGAGCAGAGTATGAATCAGCTCCAGAAAGTGAAATGCTACTTCTTCCTCTTCTGATTCTTTCATCTGCAGTATAGGAATAAACATTATACATGTTCACTGGTGGATATCTGCTGAAGTGGTGCTGATGATTTTGTGGGGCAGTCTATAACAGCAGTCATTTAAATAAATATTTACCTAAAAATAATAAAAACAGCTGAAATTTGACAATGTATAAAATCTATTAATGAAACGTTGATACACTTACATTGATCTCAGTGGGGTGCTGTGGTTTAATCTTGTCCAGATGAGACAGAATGAAGTCATGTTCCACAAGTGGTTCACTTCGGCACAACTCAAGGATATACTATTGAGGTTAAAAAATTAAAAACAAAATACTTATGGGATCATATATTGTGTCTTAAATATCTATCATTTGCTATATCTTACATAACAAATGTATGATGAATGCCTGGTCTTCTCCACTTATACCCACCCTAGCTCTTAATCCAAGATTAAGTTGTGTCTTGTGTTTGTACATGAGCAGCTCTGGGACCATGTCCATCACCAAAGAGACAAACTCTGCCACTTTCCAGTAATTCATGACATCTTGTTTCTTCACAGCCTGCCACATTGAGGCTGACATGAGCTGAAAAGGTGGGACCAAGAGGCGCAGTGACGCCACAGGTAAGGGGTTATCTGAAAAACAAGACATCAAACTGGTGAAGTTGAATAAAGTTCACCTACCTGTCCCATATCCTAATTCACCTGCTTTCTTGGTCTGACACCTGTCTCTACAGGTAAAAGTTATATGTCAAGTTCAAGAATAGTAGCACATTGGATTGTATGATCACAGGAAGTCAATCCAGGGCTGTTATTTACAGCTGTATTATCAGTCAGCTATTTCAGAACTCACTGTGTAACCAAGTTCATGTGACAATTGGCATGTTGAGTGTCCTAATGATATAACATTATGTAAAATTAGCCCAACAGTGATGCTGAAGAGTAACTAAATATTAAGAAAATAAATCAAGCGCCCATCTATGTACTTCTCGTCCAGTAGGAGGATCTTGCTGAGTGTCATGAGTGTAGGAACAACGATGTTTTGAATGCAGCCTTTATGGAAACACTGAGTGTATGTTCTGTATCCAAAATGTTCTCAAAACCAGTTACATTTTGCCATGTTTGTACGGCCTGCACAAGAAACTAGCATAGCACAATATGCATGCAAAACAAATTGTGATGTAGAACAGAGCAACATTACGTTACTATTCAGTAAGCTTCCTAACTGGGCCAATTTACCTAAAGTATCACGGACCAAAGTCAAAGTTAGCTAACGTTAACTGTTGTCAAGTTAACAAAAAGAATTTGCTTTTAGCTGACAAACTGCTGTGAAAACACCCGAGTCCATTTTCTCACACCGGTGTTGAAAAGTCTGACTAGCTGCTGTTAGCCAGCTAGCTAACTATAGCTGACTAATGTTAGCTAGTTGATACTGGATGAAAAACATTGACTAAGGTTGTTGTCCAGCTTAACTGCCAATGCTCCTATGTTAGAACACCACCTTCACTTAAACGTGTAAATAACCAAAATACAAATTTACATGGTGCCATTGGTGAACTTCTTGTCGTCGTCCAAGCCTTCTTCTTCTCTCACCCATTTCTGCATTAACATTATTCTTGTTACAGCCATCTGCTGGAGATTCTTTACATCACCCCTGTGCCCCCAACAGTAAAACAATACTGCTCTGGAATAATAAATACTTCCTGCCTTTTTAAGGACTTCAAAAAATAAACCTGCATGCAATACATATGAAAATTGGCATTTCCAAGCGTGTTCAGCATCTTCTTCTGTGTTTATTTTTTCTAGATTTATGATTTTTGAAATTTTGATTATTTCTGTTTAGTCTTCTTGGTGTTGTTTGTTTCTTTTCTTCAAATTGTTCTGATGGCATATTGTGAAGTAAATTTATTTTTCGATTTAATTTCTGCCTTATTGTGTTTTCACATAGTTTTATATTTGGCCCTTTACATGCTCCTGAATACTGCAGTCTAACTGTGGCCACTAGTTTGGTCTGTTTGTGGGTCAACAAGGAGATGGAGCTGTGATGTAGAGTCTGTCAGGATTGGAGCGTGAAGCTGCCGATAATGTTGTGGGTGAACTCAATTAAACAGCCAGACGAGGATAAGTAAAGAAACACCGTCTCTTTAATAAGAGCACTGAGAGCGAACAAAAAAAAAAAAAAACGATACGAGACACGGTTTAAATACGAAGCGCACTTACAGGTCGATAATACATTCCAGGGTCAGAACCAGCAAACACATACATCCAAGTAATCCAAAACGCGTTGTCCAAAAGGGAAGTCCAATAAGCCCATATACAAAGAAGCAGTCCCAGTTGGAAGGGCAAGACAATACACGGTGGTCAAAACAGAAATCCAGGGTCAGAAACTAATAAGTCAGGCAAGAATTAATGCTGGAGAGTCAGAGCTGGAGTCTAGAACAATCTGGCAGGTTACTGGTGGGAGAAGGCTGCTTATAATGTGGTGAAAACAGGTGCAAACAATCAGAAGAAGGTGAAAACAATGAGTTCAGAGTAAAGTAAAAAGTCCGAAATTGTGGTGAAACAAAAACAGGAAGCAATGTCAAACTAAAAGCACAAAAACGGAAACAGGCGGGACAGAATCATGACAGAGTCAGACACAAATGGGTGATGGGAGATTCAGATTAAAGGAGTCATACCTTACTCCAGGTAATTTTTGCTGTCTGGTTGTACTGACGTTTCAGGTACTTGTACTTAGTATGTATTTATTATTAGATTATAAGATTTTGAATTCATGCATTTACTATCTCATTACACACTTTGGGGCTGTTTAACCATCATCTACCACGATCAACCTCAGGAACAGGTAATAGAGACAAAATAATTATATTTTGTGAAATTTTCTTTCACCAAGAGAAAATAAAAGAATTACAGTCAGAGACGCAGCAATTTTTCATTAGTACTCCCCAGAAGCATGTGACTGTATTGATCCAGGGCATACTACTTAAGAGCTTAGCTGCTAGGCACACATTTGTGCCCATTTTGTGTGCTCAGTTAAACCAGTGTACACCTTCAGTTTGCCCAAGTGTTTTGTTCTATTAAACGCACATAGCTAAAAGCGTTTGAGTCATTTTCTTGTTCACAACATACAACAATTCTCATGCCATTTTCCCAGAGTCAACTGCTTATCATTATTGGAATTACCAGTGTATTATTTGTAATTTTAGGCCACCTGTGGCAGTGACGTTGCACAGTTAACTGAAATATTGGACATCCAACACATTTTTGCCAAATAAATAAGAGTGTAAATGTATAACCTGGAACATGCTGTTATTCAGAGTGTGTTATTCATCGCTGTTATTCTTTAACTTTGAAACTGTAATCTTAAAGACTGCTCCAAATTTCACACTTTGTGGTCCCATTGTAATACAAGTCTGACAAAGTGTTTAATAATTTACAGCTTCATTCTTCTATCAAATATTTAATCAATCAAATTGTGACTGTTTAATCACCCTTTGGTCCAGCTTGTTACAACCCTCTGACATGCCAGCTCTGTTGTGGGGTTGCAGGTGGGGTTGTTTTAAAAGGCCACCAGCCAAAGGGTTGGGATTAGTTTTTTCCTACTGTAATGTGAGGAAGGTTAATCTAGCCACAGGGGTTGCAAGCCAGTGACTTCTGTGCCGGTCCCAAGGCCGGATAAATAGAGAGGGTTGCGTCAGGAAGGACATCCAGTGTAAAAACATACCACATTTAAACATGCGAATCATCAGTGTGAACTCCATACCGGATCGGTTGAGGCCCGGGTTAACAACGACCGCCACCAGTGCTGTTGACCTACAGGGTGCTGGCGGAAATTGGACTACTGTTGGTCGATGAAGGAGAGGAGGTAGAAGGATTCGTAGACAGAGAGAGAAGAGGAAAGGCAGGAGTATAGGTCTGAGAATAGGGACTCTTAACGTTGGCACAATGACAGCAAAAGGTAGAGAGCTGGTGGACATGATGGAGAGAAGGAAGGTAGATATACTGTGTGTGCAGGAGGCCAGGTGGAAGGGTAGCAAAG